CAAGTCTGCACTGCAAGATCAAGGCTGCACTGCAAGATCAAGGCTGCACTGCAAGATCATAGATTCGACTAGCTCCAAGAAATGGTATTGCTAGGGTTAGAATACTAGGGTGTATTGACGTTAGTCACACAGCCTGGTCGGGTTAAGATTCGACATAACACGGCTACCGACCACCGCCCGGTATGTAAACAAATTTGTAAAGCTGCATCTACGCTTGTTACATACTTATTTATAGTCGTTAGTCTGCCCATAACAAAATTCGACTTTCCTTTTAATTAGATGACCTTCCAATGAAAAAAATTTCAGTTGCGGCTCGTCATTATTTAACGAATCAAACGACGAACAATAAGAAACTTTTCCATGGTTATAACATAGACGCAAGACGCCATGCTATCAATCCATGTGCATATAGACTGGTACCCGGTCGACAGTTCCACACGCTACACTACGTGAGTGTAGCGATATGCCGGAGTAAAGGTGGCGAACGGGTACCAGTCTACTATGCCTATAATCTCGGCGTTCGTTGCTGCACCGTCTATCGCACGCCATATGTACTACACTCATCAACAGAAACAAACAAAGAAGAAAGTGCAAATTCGTTTTTTACAGCAAAACGAGCGCGCCGAGTCGCCAAAAAAGTTATACGAGCATTTCAAGCAAATCTCGAGCTACATGGGTAGTGAAATCGGTCGTCCAATCGCCAGAACTGCTCAACTCAGTGAACTTGCTGCTTGCCTTATATATGTAAACCCGTTGAAGGTGATGGAATGGGGGCAGCGAAATCGTGTTAGAATGCCGCCAGGCAACGTTGGCGCGCTTCGCGCGGATATCCGGCTGCAGACTGTCCAGTGCACTGTGCTCTAGTAATTAAATATGTGTGATCTGTTGTCATAAAAATGAGGGAATACATTAATCCCTAGGGCGATTTTTTTACAGATATTTTATGTATATATATGTATACATCTGGCCACTGATTATATACCTCAAGATTATCCACACAGCGCGAGCAGGTGAGTGAGTGTAGGCGTGGTCGCAGCCCCTGCAGACCAATCACTAGATGTGGTGGCACTTTCTTCATCTCCAATGCTCTCAGTGATCGGAACTTCTCAACCTTCACAGGACCTTGCAGCGTGGCACAGGTGTGCATCAGCTGGAAATGGACAGGTGGAATATGCATAATAATGACATATACACTTATAGATAAATTAAGCACCAAACAATGGCCATACAACATGAATGAAGTGGTAACATAGCAACTTGCTTCAGCTTACTTTAGAAAGCTGACAAAATTATTGAATAGTTTTTTTTTATATTATATCTTGAAATTATTATCATGAATATAACAATACACAACTGTGTTTAAATGCAAATTTAAGCTTCAAAAAATATATACGGTTTAAAAAAACTGTCGGCCCCATAGCAGACATGTTTCACCCCATATGCAACAAAAGCTTCCTCGTGTTAGCATCCATGGGTTTTATTAAAAAATTTCGAAGCATTAACAACATTACCGACCTTCAGTGAAATAGTCTTCTGAACGACATCAAAGAGAAATTGCACATCGTGATAGAGAGCATCAAAGGCTCGTCTTCCTGCCAGCACCTCGAATGATTGATCATAGTCCTCGTGGCTCACTCTCGTGAATACATGATTCAGATAACCCAGTGCAGATGTCGTGAAGGAGAGTTTTGCTGAACCACTAAGAACCTTTTCACCTATGAAAGCAAACATGTAACTTTATCACCCAGGTTTGTAGACGATAAAATTCTCCCGTTCTGCAGCTATAGCTTTTTACACACAGATTCACCTCCAGATATGCTTAATAATTAAAATTTTTGTATGGAATGAGGTAATTGCACAGTGGTTCAAAAAGTAAAAGACCTTATAGTAAGCCACGTATATTTGACACTATCAGGACACTTGGCGTTGCCCGGGAAATAAAGCGCTCAGTTGGTGACCACTGGGTTGAAAAAAAAATACTAAAAAATATATCTATCTAGCTATTTATCCATCGATCCATCCATCCATCCATCCATCAATCCACCCACCCATCCACCCTATCCCCCAATCCGTATTGAATTGCATCAAGAACAGACAAACAGACACACATTCACAAATATGTATTAGATAAACATGCGCATGGACTACATACGGATATAAAATACAAATACCAGACTTTTATATTATTGTGGCAGCTTAAACTCTATGCAATAATTTATCTAATCTAAGAACAATCAATCAACAATAATTTACATATATTACCATATTCCCTTAACAGTCTGGCTAAATTGAGAATGAGATCCTGGTCCGTATTTAAATTTGACATCTTACTAGTGTAAGGTATCAGTAGTGTCTCCACTTCAAACGTATAGTAGCCAACATCTCGGAATCTGTAAAACATTAATTATGTATATCATGATTACACATATATGTAACGATATTAACATGCCTACAGCTAAAGGAAACCGCCTTTACGTAATAAAGTCTAGTTTCACTAAATAATAACGTTCATATAATAACATTAAATAAGTTTCACTAAATAATAAAAACCTATTAACGAAAACATGAACATTTGAGGAAACCTCTACTCTGCACCTTCTGATATTGATATTGGTGAATACACTCACTATTTCTTAAACCAGTAAATAGCAATCCTGAGTATATAAATGAGAACGTTGGTACTGTTGAACTGTTGGAACGCAGGAACATTGAATTCAATTAAGTTTAAATTATGACGCATAAAAATGCTGTACCTTAATATTTATTTAAATTAATTTTATGATGGTGTAAAGATTTACTAAAGTCGTATGTTTTTTTTTAGCATTGTAGTGTTGTCATTTTCCTACAATGCCAGTAGTACCACATATACACGCTGGTCTTACCGAACTTGCACTAAAACAGCACTAAACAGCACTAAACTTTGATTTCGGTAATAATTTTAGTAAAATCAACCCAATTAATCCATATATTCATCAAATCAGAAGCCTTGTTACACGTAATTTATCCACAGTTAAATTAATTGTTACCCAATCCCGAGCCATCCTGCAAAGTTTTACCATGGTCAAATTAATAATAACCTATTATAATATTGTCAGTGAGGACATCCTTGTATACTTTTCTGCACTTTTCTTCGTTATCAGTTGTGATGACCCTAGTCTATTCACACAATACCCAAAAGTTTAGCAACTCCCAGAGTTTGTAACCTAGAATTATGGTGTTAAATCATGTCTGGGACCACAGCACACACCTATATTTCATACTGCCTTAAACCACACCGGACTATAATCTCTACTCAGAGGTTTGTGTACTACTTGGCCATAGTTTGCTGTGATATAGTGTTCTACAAACAGTGTACCTATAAATATTTCAGGAAAAAAAATATAATTTATTTTTTGGGGGCTACTTTTCAAGCTCGCGTGCATGAAAATAGCACTCTAAATTTTGGTTTGCCTTGAACTCTATATGCAAATTTACGGGGGCTCTTTTTGGCATTTCGGGGGCTAAATCGCCCCGAGCCCCCGTGTATTTTTTTCACTGAAATATTTGCACCATTAATTATCATTACCATTAAATATACAGGGTTCTCCGCAGAGTTTAAATGCATGTCGGGTTCGATATGCCTTCAAACCTGAACCTAATTAGCGACATCCCTTAGATCTTTATTTGCCTAATTGCCTAATTAACGTCGCTAAACTTTCAGCAGTTTACTTTTGACAATCCAAAGACAGCAATCCCGCGTGTTTCCAGCTTGATGTGTACGTTTCCGAACTGATTGAGTGTACCTGTGTATTGGGGCTTTTTATGACATGCATGAGTAACTCAAACTACCTCAACCCTCTTCCAGGCTCTCCCCATCTGTACCAAAATGACACGCATTCTGAAATTTCCAGAGACAACCCTGACTATGTAGACATTGTGGTGCTTGGCCTTATACGTACTTATTGTACCACACGCTCCATAACTCTTGCATATATCTGCAAAAATTGTTCCTGCTATAAGATTTCATTTACATCTCAAGTGCCATATGCTGGGCACTTCTTCGGTTTGTGCACACACATGGTGACCTAATTTCTGTTCAGGCCAAACAGCTGACTCATAGTACTGCTTGTGTGTTTGGCCTGTTTTCCTTTGCTTTTGAGTATGTTGTGCACGATTATAATTGCACTGAGCTGGTCATTGACTCCGAGTTAAGTTGAAAGTATAGAAATGTAAAGTGCATGTTGCAACTCTGCGTACCTCTGCTGCCTTATCAAGTGTTAGATCCTTTCAACACAGCCATCCCTCTTCGATTGTATCATCATACACCAAACACAATGTTATTCCTGATCATCAAGTAACACGAATGTCAAAATTTATGCAACATTTCACTATTTTGTAGATCTGTCAGATACTGCATGGCCTGATTTCTTTTGTATTGCTTGTGCTCCCAGAAATTTTTACTGCTCAAAGACAGGGGTTGTTTCTTGTCTCACAGTAATAATCAAATTGTTGCCAACATTGCATCAAAATCTATCCTCATTGCCCCATGAGAAACTGTCAAATACTTCTTGGGCTTCGGGACTGGTTCAGTGCAAAACAATTGCCACTCCCTTGCTACTGGTTTCCCTCATTTTGCTGTTGCAGTCATGTACTTTTCACATCCAAACACACTTCTCCGATTTTCAAATACATTGCCATCAAAATTCACAGCATATATAGGCCTAAAATGCTCTATCATCTATGGGCTGCTGTTGAATTTCCTTTGGACAACATATATTTATGATATAATAATAAATATGAGGCAATACTTGGAAGCTGAGAGCAACCTGAAATCAATTTGTCATTGCTTTATTGGAGAATTCTGATGACACCATAATAATTGTTAAATATCAGTGGCAATACCACTCCCTGGGAGATCTGGGATTACCAAGACAGTACTATGAGAAATGGGGTTGGTGCATGTAGGGTAGGGTATTGGAGGCATTAGCAATGAATTTATGTAACCAAGGTGCCTGTGACTCTAAAAAGTTTTAGAACTATTAATACACATATACAGAGTGCGAAATTAACGGGAGTCCAGAGTCAAATACTCCCCGATTTACTGTCGGACTACCTGATTTGACATATGCAGGAGTGCGTGTGACTCCCTGAAAATTCTGCCATACTAACTAGTTCGTTCCAGAGCACGGCCTCGCGGAATTACCGTATTTTTTAGCTAATGTCCAAATAAATTTGGCAGACGTGCAATCGCATGAATCTTAAAAATAAGCACAGGTGATATTGTTAATACCTTTAATTTTGAACCTCAGACTGCGGACTCCCTCATTTTGCTGCAGATCGACGCCCTCTTTTTGAGGGTATGGAGTATGTTGGACTCCCGTGTTCAAAAGTTAATTTCTACCCCCGCATATATATGTTGTTTACAATGGCTAGGATATGGCACTACTGGTATTGCTAGTACACCATGCAGGTCTTCTATCCGTCATCTGCAAGTTTGAGTAGCGGACATGAACTACTTACCTGAGCACAAGCACTTGGAACGTTTCAATAATAAAATGATGGTAAATAAACAAGAAGTGTATTTACTATCTCACCTCTCGTTCTCCTAGCTACTATTGCCAATACTTTCCCGTAAATGCCGTTCAAATGCTCCTATGCAAAACATAAGTACACTGCACACACGCCGCTGTGCACAAACAACAAAATGATATAGCTTTTGTTGCTCTATAATTTTGTATTGGAATTATCTCCCTTCTTCTTTAGTTAGTTGCAAACTTGACTCTTGGCATTTTCTACTGCAATCCACAGTATTAATCTACATCTATATGGTTACGTCGATCTGTCACTCTTGACAATTACTCAACGGTTTCCGGTGAGCGCAAGAAAAAGAAAATTTAAAATAAGAATTACATGACAAAGAATAATAAAGTAAGGTAAAAGGATAAAGAATAAAGTGAAGGAGTTGACCCATTTGCTTTTTTTTTACATCTATCCAAGACCAATCCGGCTTTCGTGGCGGTACCAGGAAAATGTTTCCCCGCCGGCCTAGCTCAAGGCCTTCTTACTGGGCAAATAGGGACCAAAGGACTTCAGAATGAATGACGTGACAGCTCCCCGTTAAGGATACTAAGGAGGGAGCCTCAGCAACTGGTGCTGGTAGAGTTCCAAACTGGAATTGTCCTGGGGAAGAAACTAAACTTGAAGCTGTCAGTAAATCTGTCTATTTGATCAGCTTTGTCTCTTTCCGTCTTCAATATAGTCCCTTGGATTTGAAGACTAATATTTACGATGTTACGAGCCGTTGCAAGTCATGTGCCTGTCTAACCGAGAGAGGCTTAACAGTAACACTCAACACTGAGACTCTGACAAAACAGTCATTAGCCTGATTAGGCCTACTGAGTACGGTACTGATTACAAATACAATTAGTGAATTACAAGTATTAAAGACTGCAGTCAGTGCTTTATACTCTTACAATATTAGATTAATTATAATAGTAGCTAAAAATTCAATACCATACTCGGGCAATTTGTCAATACCATTTTAGTAATGTTGTGGTAGAGCAATTAATTAACCGACAGATATTTAACTGTATTATTGAAGTTGAGTTGAGCCGTCGGTCACTGTTGTTGTTAACGAATAGCGCCACCTTGTAGTCAACTTTACAAACTTTCGAACATCAAAGCTAATGAAACCCCCGTGTTTGCCTGAGAATAATTCTTGCAATCATTTTAGTAAATAATAAAATGTTATTTTAACAATAAAAAATGTATTTTAGAAAAAGCCCATATTGTATTTAAACATTTAAATAAAATAGCTCAGGTAAACCGGAACCGGAGATTTCGACACGGGATGAAGGTTATCTCATCGTGTCAATCTCGCCATTTCTCGGGTCAAAAGAGCGGATTTTTATCCAGTTAGTGGTTCTCCGTTACCTCCCAGTCGACTGAAATCAGGATTTACCGGTGAGCATATCGCATGGAGCCATTTGGCATTACGATATAATCAATATAAGTCTAATTATCTGTTAGTATTTACAGTAAAAAAACTAAGCATTTAATGATTTATAAATGATTAGGCATTACGCCGTCTCGGGCACTCGCAGCTGTTCAGCCTGTTCAGCCTGTTGTACCCAAACTTGGAACAACAGCAAAGCCGTGCCACGCAATCTTGTATCATGTCTCTCTGGTTTGGGCAAGGTGAGCAGGGTTTGCACAAACTTGGAATCATGTTTATAGGCTACGAAATGTTATATCATTACAATGAGTTCCCATATCTTATTTTATCTGATTGTGTTTGCATATTCAAATTGGTTAACAAATTATATGCCTATGGATAGTTGTAAATGTAAGTTGAGATAATTTGCTCAATAATAGGAAAATTTCTAGTTTGGGCAAGGTGAGCAGGGCTTGCACAAACTTGGAATTCATAGGCTACAAAATGTTAATTTCTTCGGTTTTCTTCAATGTGTTTGGCAAATGTGTGTTTGTTAAAATATTAAATAATTATATTAGATAATTTGATTACTATTAGAGAAATTCCTTCCTAGTTTGCCTCAGTTATACTCGCATATGCCACAATCGCCATTTTAAAAGTGTAGTTGAATAAGCGACTGTTTTCAACTTTTCAGTGTGCGCAATCTTGAGATTGGGCAGCCTAACTAGGAAGTCCGCAGTTTGGGCAGCACTATCACTGCGTGATCTCAAGATTGTGCAAATTCCAAGTTTGGGTATGACACAGCTAGGGCCTGCATACCTCCCAGTTATACTCGGGCGGGTTTTTAACACATTCTAACTCTAAAACTGTTACGTTAAAAATTCTTAAAATATTTACATAAACAGGCAAGACGTAGTTTATTTCAAAAGTTATATCAGCCGAAAGTTGCTACCTTGACTACAACCTCGATTACTCAACTTTGTTACTACCTCGATTGCAACATTGGCTGGTCAAATATAGACAATATGGCGCAGGCGATCTAGCGGGCGTGGTAGCAACTTTTGGCTGATATAACTTTTGAAATAAACTACGATAGGAAATAAAACTTCGTATTCAAAATGACAACCGTCTTGCCTGTTTATGTAAATATTTTAAGAATTTTTAACGTAATAGTTTTAGAGTTAAAATGTGTTAAAAACTTGACCGAGTATAACTTTGGGAGGTATGCAGGCCCTAGCTGCGAGTGTCTCAGGCAGTCTGCATAGTCACTGACACAGTCACTGACAGTGCACAGGCACATTTAAGTTGTAGTTGTAGACCGAATAATTCTGTCCCAGATAACGTTTTATATCTTGGATGCGTTATACTTATGCCAATAACCTTCACCAAAATATAAAAAAAGGTTATCTGGGACAGAATTATTCGGTCTAAGGCACTTGGGCTGAGAGGGTCTATGTCTCCCAGGGTACTGCCGGAACATACCCTGGTACTATCTAATAGGCTGGACCGTACCTCGCCTACTCCACTAACGAGTCTAGGGAGTCGCCTACGCCTACTCCCTAACCCTAACCCTAACCCTAACCCTAATCCTAACCCTAACCCTAACCCTGACCATATCAGATAGTTACCAGGGTACGTTCCGGTATACCGGACCGTACCCAGGGTTTGTTCCGGCAGTACTCTGGGGGACATGGACCCTATGAGCGGCACTTGGAGCGTTTCAATAAAATATAATGCTAAATAAATAAATATGAAATCTATTTACTACCAAAGTTTTAATGTTTCTATACTCTCTTTCACCTATTATTGCTGACAATTTTCTGTAAATGCCGTCCAAATGCCAGGGCGTCAAGTTCCTATTTTTTCCTATTTTCTGGACAATTCCTATTTTCTGGACAAATTCCTATTTTTGAGGGCTTTTCATTTTTCTGAATCCAGAATTGTATGTATCATTCTCAGAATGCAGGAATTTACATTTCAGGTGACCCAATTTTCAAAAATTTCGTGGTGGAAGACCCCCAGACCCTTACTTTTAATTAACGTAATATACTCTTTACTATCACAGATTTTATTTCAGTAAAGTTGTTTCTCAGTTGGGTGTGGTATGTGTATCCAGAGGGGGGGTCCAGGGGGTCTGGACCACCTATTTTTTTCCCCAAAAAAGGGAAAACACATAAAAGATAATTTTCTGCTTAAAAATTTGGAATTCCGTCTTGCATTCTAGACATCAAAATTACTGCTCAGATGCTCTCAGAATGCACCAATTTTTAATTTTTTCTTGGGGGAGGTCCCTCCTATTTTTTCACATCTGAAATTCCTATTTTCCTATTTTTTGAGCGTCACTTGTCACTTGACGCCCTGAAATGCTCATCTGCAACAAACCTGTGTGACAGTGTGTATAGTAATTGTGGTCTATTAAAATCCACAAAACACAACCCTAGGCCCTGGACAGATTGTAACTACTGCTGTACTACAGTTAACTTTAATCACAACTGAGGCCATCCTTGACAAATTATATGTTTGCTGTCCTCCGACCGACCCACGAAAATAGCCGCGACCCAAAAGTTTTTTTTTACATTTTGGGTTCCTTATTTTATTTTTTTTATTTTTTTTTCAATTTTTTATAGTTAAGACTGAAACACAAAGCATGTGTGGCAAACATGAGGACAGACTTAAAATAAGTATTATGCCTCACACAAAAAAAGAAGAATTACCTCTGTCTCTGTCTGTGTCTCTATCTCTCCCTCTCCCTCTCCCTCTTCCCCTTCCTCTCTCTCGCTCCCTTTCCCTATCTCTTTCCCCCTGTCTCTCCCTCTCCCTCCCACTCACGGTCTCTGTCTATCTATCTATCTCTCTCCCTTTCCCTCGCGCTCTATAGCTGCGTTCACACGTATACACGGCTTAGCTGGTACCGTACTTAGTTGGTGCTAAGTCCGGTTAAAATGCGTTCACACGAGATACACGAGATTCGAGGCTTAGCTAGCGCGGTATAATATAGACTGGTACCCGGTCGACAGTTCCACACGCTACCCTAACGTCGTGCAGCGAACGGGTAGCAGTCTAGGTTCACACGACAATCAATACGCGGCCAGCGTGGTACCGAATATACGCGGCTTAGTTGGCGCGGAATATGATTCCGCGCTTAGCAAGCCGTAGCATTCGCGGCTAAGCAAGCCGTGGCTAAGCAAGCCGCGTATATTTTAGCGTGTGAACGCAACTTTTCTCCTCGTGTGAACGCAGCTTATATCTCCCACTCTCTACCCCCTCTTTCTGAAACGTTGTATCTATCTGCCCATGAAAATAAATAATTTCCCCTTTTTATCACTACTTTATTACATGTATGCATTTATAATCACATTCTCTCTGCGTTAAAATAGATTTTTATACTACCATTGTAAATATATTATGATAAATACATGGTTTGTCTGTCTTGCAGAAGCATCATGGCCGAAAATAATAACGCTGGTGATCAAGAGAAAATGGCAGCAGCAGCGGCAGTATCTGACTGGAGTCCAGTAATACAGGAGGAGTCCTCGCTTGAGAAAGCTTTTCGTAAATTCAAAAGCGATCCAATCGTGCCACTAGGTAGGTACATTATTGCTTCGCTACGCAGCTTGCTGTTCCAAGGTGGGCTATATAATCCACGTGATATATATATATATATATATATAATATAGATGCCGTGGCAGTTAGATAATGTGCTATTTGTGTGATACATGAATGCAATGTGCGACGTGGCTATAGATTTGTTACGTAGTTGGTTGCTTGTTTCTCAGCATTTACTAGTTTATCGATAATATTCTAGAACTTAAATATTACTTCAATAGTGGTTAATATATAACAAATATGAGTCTTAACTGTAGATAATTATCATTGAGGCTAAGTAGATGCTGTGGTATGTACTGCAGGCATATATATACTATTACATATATGCATATATATGTGACATATGTTGGTCTAACTGTTTGAAACTACTTACTAGTAGTAGTATGATATCATTTATGGTTGTTGTTACTGTGTGCAGATGTGAGATGGTCTCCAGGTGTATTAGATAATACTCATAAAATTCGTACAAATCGGCAAATTAGACTAAGGTTCAACCCACCATCACAGTTCTGTGCAAAGTACAGGCATCCCGGAGCAGTTTGAAAAATTGCTGAACATTCTTGTAGGTATGTTGGGATTTTTCGGTATGGCCACTTATGGCATACGGGAGTTTAAGAACAGAGGCAACATGCCTGCGTCCGTGTATCTGATGCACCTGCGAGTGAAGGCTCAGAGCATCGTGGTAGGTGCCATGACGCTTGCCGTCGGCTACCATCTCATGAAGGACTTCACCAAATCTAAGCCTCCGCCGGAGGTATCTACAGATCACTGATAGTGGCTCTTCAACATCCGGTTTGTTGTTAGCAACTGTTGGTCCTGGATAATTCTTGATAGAGAGCCATTGACCTTAGGCAGTACTGCAAAGTGTCACTGTGCAGTTTGCTGATGAATGCAGAATTTGAAACTATTAATTTTATAACAAAGCTAAGCATCTGTAAGCTTTATGGCTCTTTACTGCAAAGATTATTCATGTAATATCTAGTAACAGACCAGACATGTGGTATAAGACAAAGCTTAAGCTATAGAAAAAATATTGAATTATTATAGTACACATGAGACTAGTTTACATTCTGTAATAGTAGTGTAGTCGTGTTGACATAATTTTTAAGCACAATTATGCCTGCTTTCTATTTTGCAATTATAATACCCAGGTTACATGGATAATTTTTCATCATTAAAAGATGTATGTTTGCTGTGGTTTATGTTATGACTGTAAAGTTATCATTGTCCCAGCAAACATTAAAATGCTGTAATTAGCAATGTCTATTACTGACTGATTGAGAACTATCCGTTCAGTTGCATCTATATCCTATCAAATGTGCGTTGTGACAGAGCACATGCGAACTCAGCTAAAACACTTAAGCAAGTGACCACTGGTCTAAACTCTAGCGCTTATATGTACCTTTATTGGTTTATTACTGCGAAGTCTCTATAGGCACGGAATGCCCCCGCGTCTGTGTACACTAGTAGTAGTAGCGGAATATATGTATCACGTGTCTGTCCACAGTGATGTCACGTGTTGAAAACGTGCCTGGGGGATTTCCACGAGTCGTGAGTCAATGTTGTAGAAAGTTGTGTACTTGATTTATGCATTATATATAAAAAAATCGGCATACTCGTGTGGGTGTCTTCATTGTGCGTGGTGCTGTGCTTTTATAGGAAAACGTGTCGTTTCCTTTAGTAAATACCAGTGACGTTCAAGAGCAGTGTGACTGAACTTTTAATCCGGTTAAGAGGCTCAATGGTGTGTGCACATTAAAATGTGATATGCACCGTTACATGTACGTAGAACGATGCTGAGCAAAAATGCATAGTTAATATACAGTTGCTATAATAACAATATATTCTGAGGTGTTGTGCAACAGCAAGTTGAGATTTCTATATCATGTGAGTTCGTATGTCAGTTAGACTGATGGCATTAGTAAATTTGTAATTGTTATAGTCATATACGATATGTGATCGAGCATATATACATGTATTACGTACAGTAAATAAAACCTATTCTGTTGAATCATATGTAATCGTTTTTGTTACAACATTCTGCAGGTAGTTATAAGATTATATTAGAGAACATCACTAATACGACTAATACAAGTGCGTGTGTGTGCGCGCGCGTTCGTACGTTTATGTAGGCAAGTTTTAACTGTCACTGATTCAGCCAGAGTGCGTTTTATCTTCGATTCACCCACAGGCACTTGGAACGTCTCAATAAACAAAAATAATGGTAAATAAACACGAAATGTAGTTACTACCAAAGTCTTAATGTTTCTCTACTCTATTTCGCCTATTATTGCCGATAATCACCTGTAAATGGCGGCAACTCCCTTATATTCATGTTGTTTGTGAACAGGGCGTGCGTGCGGTGTACTTGTGTGTTGCAGATGAGCATTTAACCGGCATTTACAGGTAATTATCGGCAATAATAGGCGAATTAGAGTAGAGAAACATTAAGACTGGTCGTAAATACATTTCGTGTTTATTTACCTTTATTTTTTATTATAGACGTTCCAAGTGCCTGTGGATTCACCGATGTAGCCGCTGCGCGCACCCGCTACAGGGGTGAAGCGCCCGTCCTGTAGCGGGAGCGAAGGGACTACACGCGTCGGGTAGAGTTAGCGTGGTGCACATCTGCTCGTTTGTTCGTCAATGCACTAGTATATTTTGTTCACGCGCCATGCGGCCCCTGGTAGGGCAGGATGCAGCTAATCTTCATTCCGTTCGTCCTGAATAACGATAGTGACCTTCACCATCAGACGTGCACGTGTCTGCGAATTCTTAAAAAATTTTAGTTTCGTAATTTGCAAAGCGCGTGTCTGTTGAATGCAACATGCAGAGGGGCGTAAATCCGTACCGAGGAGTGGGGGGGGGATGATCGGCGATAGCCGGGGGCGAAATGAACCTTGGCTGCCGCAGGCATGCCAGTGCTAGGGGGGTCTGGGGGCATGCCCCCCCCCCAGAAAATTTTGAAATATTTAAGCCATTTTCCTGCAATCTGAGGCATACTGTGGGCCATATTCTCATGTCTGATGACACTATCTCGACCCTAGACTCAACCCTACAATTAGGATTAAAAACACTTTTTATGACTTTTCAGAGAGCGTACATAGTTAGGTTACTATAGTAATAATACATGTATTAAAACACAGGTAAGAATTGCAATTTCTCACAATTTCACGTGTTTTTGTATGTTTGCAACCATACTTTTTGGCTATTCTTTTTTTTTTCTTTCATCCCCTCATCCCCCCGGGATTTACGCCCCTGGTTGTATCATATATATATATATATATATATATATATATATATATATATATATATATTATTCACTAGTGTTATGATTGCACAGCACAGGCGGATAAAACACCGTATTGATGGCTTAATTATTTCTATCGTGATTACGACCTATAGTAGACAGTAGAGATTTCCAGAGACGTGTAGCTTATATATTGCACTCGTAAAAATTGCGTTTCTGGTTCATACCAGCGCCTCTGAGCCTTTGTTTGTTTTTTTGTTTTGTAGGAAAGCCGTAGAAACAGGGGATTTAAAGAATATATACATTTACGTTTACTTATGTATTGGCCGTGCTTAACCGGTTCAACCATCGTTAATCCGTGTGAGACTTTTAGTGTAAACGTACTTATGAGCCCTGTGTACGTGGTCCACTTCCAGGGACATGCAGAATGCCTTTTGGTCTTGTTCAAGTCAAGCGGGCTGCACTTTAGGCACTTGTCAGATAAAATCGCCCTCTCTTTACGGGCCTCGGATAAACAGGCGCATCGCTTAAACGACGTCTCTTTGGGGGGAAACCCCTTATGCAGGTCCTGTGTCACAGACTAACGAATTATTATTCACGTATTTGTTAGTCTGTGGCTATGTGTTTACCGCTTAATCGGAAATTTTCATGGCTCCCGACCTGTCCCGATAAAGTCCGGCCCACTGTAACGGGTCACGGGTACCTGAAGACACACTGTTGTCACCCCTTTTGTTATGAATCAATCTTCCCTACTTTACTTTTGTTTGTATCCACTATTTAACCCTTTTCTCTCGTTATTAAATTAATGTCGATAATAGCGCATATAACGTTTTTAATTTGACCTTAGATTGTTATTTTGGCGTGCTACTGTGCGCCGTATCTGTGTTCACGTCAGGCGGGAATGAGATGCGAGTATCCCAGGGTAAAACTCCTCTACCACTCACAGACCGCAGTGCTACAAAATTAAGACCAACTTGTGGTGAAGAATTCGATAATCTGCAGCTGCTGGCCCTGAGCATCTACGCCAAGGACCTCGAAATCTAAAACTGGTCTGTGTGTAATAATTATTGCACGGCCTCGTCTCTGCGGGTTACGCACATGCGTCTTTGCACGTACGCGCGTTTCTTTCTGCGCCTCGTCATAAAAAGTCGATAACGCATCGGATTTTACATCAGGCGATAATGTGGCGCCATGGTCTCTTTCTGTGTAGCAGTCGCGAGTACATAGCAATACCTGCTATTCGTGAATCCGTTTCGTGGATGTTCGCCGTTTTATGTGGCGTGAATAGCCAATTAAGGTATTGTACTTTGAGAATCGCAAATTCCCTATCGGAATTGTACCGTAGCGGTAGTAATAGCTACGTTCAGTGTAAAATAAGTTGGGACCAGCATCAGTCGATGACGTAGGAGCATAAAGTGATTACTTGTATCAAACTGGCGAGATATACTAAAAACAATTGTCACCCTGGGGCTGGTCCATCAGTGTGAGACCTGGGGAATACTGTGTTTCGTAATTGAAACTAATTAACTGAAATATATCCTCAGGGAGCCAGTATTCCATCAAACTAACTGGACGGTTACCCCCTGGAAATCATCCGTTCAGGAAAGAGGGTGTGGATACTAAATTTGACTAACTTTTTTCTAAATCTTCGGTTTTAAGTGCGAGATCGGTCTATAAATAAGATTAAGTTGTATTTTGGACACTTATATTTAGACCGGTTATATTTGTCAGGAATAAGGGTGCGGATATTTAATTAATCGGCGGGAACGATCTAGAGATAACAGGGGTAGCGAAGGAAACTTGGCAAGAGGAGAGCAGGATCGATCTACTGTCAATTCTGCCGACAACGTGGTTGAATGGATACGTTTCACCCATCTCTACGGTGTAACCCACACACTAACATCACGCAGCAGTCGCTGCGGCTGAACGCACTGTTGCACGCATAATAATAGTACGTGGTTTTAGTGAACGTGACTATCTGAACGTTTGATTTGGTGCTTGCATTCTTGCAACGATCTATTTGCTACTGGTATGTAGAAACCACGTTAGGGGCATCTACGGACCCGTCTGCCAGCCTACGTGGTATACCGTTGTGCGCTTGCTCCGACCGAGAGGGATTACCAGCGTGAAAAAGACGGCGAGATGTTGTGCGATTATAGCGTACATGTGTGGAACGGATCGTGTTTCGACATTTCATGCGATGCCATCCTAAATACGCTCCATACTCCGTATAGCTTCGTGTCGGAACCGTGACGCAAGTAGCAGTCAAAACAATGCCGTCTGGGTCGCGGTTCCCAATTTAATCTCTCGTTCCCACTCCCTCTCCCACTCCCTCTCCCTCTCCCTCTCCCTCGCCGTCTCCCTCATCCTGTCCTTCCCCTTCCACTTCCCTGCCCTTCTCCCTCTCCCTCTCCCTCTCCCTCTCTCATCTCTCTCTCTCTCTCTCTCTCTCTCTTTGCCTCTCTCTCCCCCTCTTTCTTTCACTCTTTCTGGCTGTCTGTCTCGTTCCTCCCATCTATCTCTCTATCCCTCCCTTCCCCACCCTCCCTCCTTTCTCTCTCACTGTTGTTCACTTTCTCTCCCTTCCTTTCTCTACCCGTGTATCGGTTCCCTCTGTGGCAGGCCTGTTACGGAGAGCTATACAGAGCTGGATTATGCGTCACCGTATTTCTCGTCCTATATATAGTTGAACTATTAAATTACAGGCACCCGTGGTTAGCACATTACAGGCAAGCACATTTTATCAGATAGTATCTATAATGAAAACCTGTTTGGGTGCTGGGGAGCGAAAGACCTTGCTTGTCTTTTGACAGACTTAACAGGAAATGTTTTAATGAAGAGAAACAAACAAGCCGTTCGTCGGGTTTTTATATATTTTCGTATACGATAATAGCATATATATAATATATATATGTGTGTGTGTGTGTGTGTGTGTGTGTGCGCGTGCGTGCGTGCGTGCGTGCGTGCGTGCGTGCGTGCGTGCGTGCGTGTGTGTGTATTATGTGTATATGTGCGCATCAGTGGTCGCTATCCAAATCGTGCAATTACCAGAACACGTACCGTGCGCAACGTCACCGCGTGAAAAAATCACTCTAGTTCTCGACCAAAAAATTACGGCCGCGAGTGACAACACCTGTATTGAAAACCGGATCGAAAACAATCGGTTAGGAGCGAGTTTCGGCGGTAGAGGCGAATCAGCGGTGGAGGTCGGTCTATTCCCCCTAGATGACTGCTACGATGGGGAACTACTCCTTGTTCGTAAACGGATTGCAGCTGGCTGGCTGGCGGGTTCTTTCGAGGCCCTCAGCGGAAAAAACTCACGCCGCTGTGCGGAGGCGCCGCTGCTGCTGCCTACACACTAGATTCACTTCACCCGATTTGGCCAGACTGTATAGAGTTAGTCTGAGCGTATATATAGTGTGTGGATTGAAACCACCTACACGCGTTATTCTCGCATGGTCTATCACATTGATGTTGAAGAATTGCTAGAATATAGCGGGCAAAGAAATAGCTTCCAGTAGTGGACATGCGTTTTTTAGCATTTGTAGCATGAACGTGCGGCATCTCACAGCTGCACCGGCCGTACGAAATGCTCGTTTCACTGACGCTATTCATCGGTATTTACGAACGCTCTAACCACATGCAGTGGTTGGCCGCAGAAGAAACGACTTGTCGATTTATGGTCGGTGTTCGTGGGAGAGTCATTGACTCCTCGTATATCTGCGCCTCTTCTACATAACATTAAAATTAGCCAATATAATATACA